TTTTTTTTTTTTTCTGTATTTAGGGCAGGGTCTACAGGTTGTTCAGGGTCTCACTACTCTGAGATTGGACTCATAGTGATTCTCCTGTTGGTTTTTTTTTTTGTTTTTTTTGTTTTTTTTTGTTGTTGTTTTGGTGGAATGGGGGATTGAACTCAGACCCTTGTGCTTGCCAGAGAAGCGCTGATTCTACTGAGCCATCTCTCTGCCCCTGATTCTCCTGTTTACAACCTCCCAAGTGCTGGAATTAGAAGTGCGTGCCACCATGTCCAGGCTCAATTGCCCTTTCGGCATTCCCCGGGGGCAGGGCCAGCACGGTGGCCTGGAGGTGGAACCCCTGGCCTCTGTGCTCCGCCTAGGCAGGTGCTTTAATCTGCTGAGCGATTTGGCCAGCCCTAGACATGGGGATTTATGACTTCCCTGACATATCTAGATCTACATCTCTATATCTGTATCTACATCTGCATCTATATCTGATTTACAGATTGCTTTGATTCCTGCTTTGGACAACTGTGGCACTATAGCTCCATTCAGGAACAATCTTGATCAACAGAGAAGAAAAACTCCCTAGTGTAATGTTAAGTAGGATATATTTCTCAGCTTTTCCCAAGAGGAGAGATGACCTGTGGCCTAATCAGGACTAAATGTTTGGCTACATGGCCAGGACTCAGAAGGAGTAAGAACTGATGAGAAGAAGCTTTAGGAAAAAAGGTATGTAAGTGAACTTCTTGGAACAACACTAGAGTGATACAATATTTGGTTCTCCTGTGAATGTTTATCAAAATATATTCACTAGAGAGGAGGCTTTTAATTTGTCACCTGACAACCACATGGTAGCCTCTTCTCTCAGCTACCAAAATATTGCTCCCTGGGTTCCTAAATAACGTGGCATGGTGCCTAGGACAGCTTCATGAACCCAGATTTCTCCTCAGCAGACTGGATACTACCAGTGTGGCATACCATATTTGCCAGCAACAGCAAACAGACCTTAATCTTGCCAGAGACATATTAATCCAGAGGCATCAAACAGCCACCTGGTAGTAGACTGAATATATATATATATATATCGTGGAGTGGTTGGTAATTCATTCTTCTCGTGA